GGCCCGCCAGGGTGCTTACTCTGGCGAGCCGCGTGCCGAACGTTGCCGACCCCTGTTATAGACTAACAGACGTATTGGAGGATGAGCTTTCGTGGATGAATACCCACTGTCCACTACATGCATCCGACGAAGTGGATATTCACCACTCATGCTCCAATACATCTGTTAGTCTATAAGGTGCCATAGGACTCTTTGCTGCTTTTACAGATCCAGACTAACACGGCTACCCCTCTGATATTATTAGATGGTTCACAGAAAACAGGCTGAATTCAAATGTCTTCCAATACTCAGTAAAGCATACAGTGTGCTATGACCAATACATAAACTGAGCTCAGAGGCTTGTTATGTACTCACGTGCTGGAGTATTAACCCACTCTATTGGATCCCATAGCAGTATCTCCGTAATATTAAGCCAGTACAGTTCACTCTGGGATTCAACTACTTATTAAGACTATTTCTAGCAAAAACCAGAAGAAACTGGATGCAGTTTTTTCCCATATCTGAAACAGGTAAATTTCCTTAACCAAGTGTTTTAGCTTAAAAAAATAACTATTTGAGGACTATTTTATATTTACATAATCATTAAAACTATGAATTTCAGCTGTAAGTAAGTTTCCTGATATTTGTGCCTTAAATTGACATTTAATATTACAGAAATGAAAGATCTAAAGCAAAAGCGACAGAATATAAAACCAGAAGCCAGTTAATGTAAAAGTTCAGACTGTGTGGGTGAAAAAAGCAGAGAAAATTTTAAATCACAAGAATTTTAGAGGAACATACTTAACCCAGACCATTCATCATCAACATGGGGCTGACTGCGGCTTAAATCCCACTGAAAATCAGAAGTACCAGGCTGAGTAACTGGCTCATTGCTGGATCCTGAAAGAGAGCAGAAGGAATACACTTATGAAAACTTTGGAATTTTTGTTAGCTTATAAACTTGGGTCTGTGGTGCTGAGTTCTCTTATTTAAAAATAAAAGGAAGTAACAAGGTAAGGTAAGAAAGAGGGAGAATCCAGCAAACAAAAGAAAACTTTTATCAGAGAATTCTGAGTGGGCAGGAATTCTGCTCTCTCCCCTCCTCCTGTGCATATTTTAAGTCAGAAGGAGCAAAAACAATTATCAGGATTTCAAAACTCATTAGATTCACTATGACATTTCTTGCAATTTGAAGTTCTACATTCAGAAGGACAGACATAAAAGTCTTCTGGAGATCCTCTATAGCAGCAGGCTGGCCTGCTAGTCCAGCAGAAACATACTGGACTATGGTACCAAATTTACTCTCTCTTTTTCAAGCCAAGAGAGGGGGAACACTGAAGAGTGCACACAACATTCAGTCACAGTGATAAAGGACACCACAGACTGCCTCCAAAATGAAGCATATTCAGAGGGAAGAGCAGGGACTTAGAGATCCCAGTAAAAGAAAAGAAAAAAAAATAGAAATACTGAAACAAAAAGACAGAATTAAGGGGTCACAGGCTATGGGGAAAGAGAAACACTGACTACACAACATTCCACTGAACCTTGTTTATTGTTGATTTTATATTGAGGGCACAACAATCAGATTCTTATGAAAATGGTAAAATTACTTGCCTGTAAATTCTGCTTTTCTGAAGGTATCTTATAGCAGCGGTTCTCAAACTGGGGTCTGCGGAGGGTACTCCAGGGGATCCACAAGTCATGTCAAGGGCCGCTGGCCCCGCTGATCAACTCCTCTCCCACCCTCCCAGCATCTCCTGCACGCTGCTGAACTGCTGTTCCGTGGCGTGCAGCAGGCACTGGGAGAGAGGGGGAGGAGCAGAGATGGGGCACGCTTGGGGAAGGGGGCGGAAAGAGGTGGGGAAGAGGGGCGGGGTGGAGTGGGGATGGGACCTGGGGCTGAGCACCCCCAGGGAAAATTAGAAGCCAGCTTGGGGGTCTGAATTTTTAAATCATAATGGGGGTCCTCAGGTTACTAAAGTTTGAGAACTGCTGTCTTATAGGATTCTCACTCCTGGCTCTTAACTCTACTAGTTCTTAAGGTTTAAAGGTTTCACCATTGAGTGCAGTGTAGCAGGACAGAGTAAGAGCAATCATCATCGCTGGCTGTTATATGCAATACCCTGCTGAGTACAAATGTTGCCCTCCAAGTGTTACAGTCAGCTGTCTAGATTGTGCAGGAGGCAAAGCTCCCAGGATAAACCAATACTGGTGGAGCATTGAAAGAATACTAGCAAAGTTTTCCAACACCCAGAAGACACAGTAGGTAGCAGTGCCCTGAGAGGTCTGAGAAATCTATGAATCCTTTTATTCATTCCCTTCCTTCATGGTCCACTAGGATAAAAGGATTGCCTGAACTTCTCTCTCTCAACATGTTCATAACCTTTGCAGCTACATCAAATCTCATGCTTCAGGACTTCAGCCAGTTGTCTGCAGAGGTTGGGAAGGAATTTTTTCCTGATGCACAACTGGCTCAGTTTATTCTGCTCCGGTTTTTTCCCCACCTTTCTCTATAGCAGAGATTGGCCACCAGATTGGGGAGATCAGTACTTTGAGGTGGTACAGAGAATCTTGTTCCTCAGATGCCTGACTGATATGTCTTGCTCACACAATCAGGGTCAAACTGATTAATTTCTGACCCAAAATCTGGCAATTTCTCCCCAAGTGAGATTGGCAGGGACCTGGAGTGGGTTTATGGCTTCCTCTACAGCATGGAACGTTGATCACCTTCTAATTTCATGTAATTAATTTCCTACTATAGCTGGGACTTTAGGCATTGCTACCACTACCGGGACTTCAGTTTCTCCTATTCTCTGCCTGTGGCACACAACAGTTTAGTCTACTGAGAACTGATATGTTTAGTCCAACTAAACTCATTGGGCTCAATATAGGAGTATTTGTGGCAAATTTAATATCCTGTGATGTCAGACTAGATCTAAAGGTACTTTCTGGCATTAAATTCTATGAAATTAGATACTGGAGCATCTAATTCAGGTGTTGGAGTGCCAAGATACTGGCTGTAAAGAATACGGTGATGAAGCACCGAAGCACACACAACAGTGCCAGATAAGAGACACATCCAGGTATAGACACACCAAAGTACAGCAGAACCCGGTTTATCTGATTTAACTGAGACCAGGGCTAGATTGGATAATCAAAAATTCAGATAATCCAGAGAATGGGAGTGCGCGAGACTGCAGCACTGTCTAACGGACGTAAGAAAGAGGTCCAGAAGTGGGCAATGTGCACACTGGTCGTTCAGTTAATACGAAGAGCTGGATAATGGAGGTCAGATAATCAGTGGAACAGTGGAAAAGGAGGTGGAAAAAGTGCCACAGGAAAGGCAGAAACACTAGAAAAAAGAAACAGCTGAGATGCATCACAGAACTTGCACGAGCACTCAATGCAACTGCTTCACAAAAAGTTTAGGTAAATATGCCAAGTTGACTGGAGGAATGGACAAATAAATATGCAACAAAGGAACTCAGAACTGGAATGAGACAAAAGTGCAGTCTCCAACATGCCGCTTCTCCTTTGCTGACAGTGGTCTTCTAGGAGGTGATGCAGTGTTTAGAAAGCAGTATTTATACTTGGCAGAGGTAGCATACAAGAGTTATTAGGAGGTCTAACTTGCAATCCTCTCTGCTACTGCACCTTTCTAGGGTAAAACATACTTTAAGAGTTAAGGGAGTTATTCCAGTCTCACACTAAGGAGCTAAGACATAGAATTTACAATCCTACATATATGGTATCTTTAGGGAATTATGTTTATGCTCCTTCATCAGAAGTCTGAAATTTACATCTGCAGCAATGCCCAAGTGTTCCTAAACACAGATTGCTTCTGATGAATGAGGAGCAGAACAGGAAGGATCTGGAAAAGACACTGAGGTGACAATCTTATATTTAGTCTAGCTTTTGGGTTTTTATTTAACATTTTGGAGAATGAGGTATTTATTCTAATTGCATAACACTTAAATGTATAATACATAAAAACCAATTCCATGATTAAAGATGCGGCAAATTCTTTTTCTACAACTTAGGCCTAGACTATACTAGCAATTTAGGTCAGTATAACTATGTTGCTTAGGGATGACGAAAATCCACACAAAGTACAGTAATACTGACGTAACTCCCTATGTAGACAGTGCTATGTTGATGGGAGGATTTCTCCTGTTGACATAGTTACTGCCTCTTGGGGAGGTGGATTACCTATGCCGATGAGAGAAGCCCTCCAATTGGCATACATAGTGTCTTCACTGAAGCACTATAGCAGCGCAACTGCATCCGTACTGCTGCAGCCTTTTAAGTGTAGACAATGCCTCTGTCTTGCGAACCACAAACTATAACCATTTCTGCAAAACGATTATTGAAGGAAACAAAAAACAAACAAACAAAAAAAAGGGGTGTCTAATTTAAGTACAGTTGTAGAAAAAGCTTTGCAAAGCTTAACATACCAGAAATTGCAGGATTTAGTCCTAAGGAAGTGAAAGAGGCAGAATTTGGTTCAGAGGCCTTGATCCTTCCATCTACATTCCAGGCAGCTGAAAAAAAATAAAGAGCTTGATAACTTCACACTTTATTTTGCCATATTGAAGGCATCTAAAAATCAGTTGTCGTCTAAAGCTGTAGGAATATGGTCAAAAAAATCAGAAGAAATTCCAACCGCAAGACAAAGTCTCATACTAGTAAAATATTACCTGTGGCTTTAAGTTGTCTTCTTATAGTACTCAGTAAGCAAGAGTAAAAGTGGGTGAGGCAATATTTTTTAAACTTAACCAGCTTCTGTTGGTGAAAGAGACAAGCTTTCAAGCTACACAGTGCTCTTCTTCAGGCCTGGGAAAGGTACTCAGGGCAGGTCTATGCTTAAAACGCTGCAGTGGCTCAGCTTCTCCCATCAGTGTAGTTAATCCACCTCCGCGAGACACCAGCAACATAGTTATACACCTCTACCCTGATATAACGCTGTCCTCAGGAGCCAAAAAATCTTACTGCGTTATAGGTGAAACCGCGTTATATCGAACTTGCTTTGATCTGCCGGAGTGCGCAGCGCCCCGCCTCCCCCGGAGCACTGCTTTACTGCGTTATATCCGAATTCGTGTTGTATCGGGGTAGAGGTGTACTGATTTAAGTTTAGACATGGCTTCAGTGTCACAGGTAAATACAAGGTGGAAAAGATTGTTTAGCACGATAACATTCTAAGGCAGTGGTTCTTAACCAGGAGTCCGGGGTCCCTTAGGGAGCTGCAAGCAGGTTTCAGGGGGGTCCGCCAAGGATGGCAGGCATTAGAATTGCTAGAGCCCAGGACAGAAAGCCAAAGCCCTGCCACACAGGACTGCAGCCCAGGGTCCCAAGCATCGCCACCCGGGTCTGAAGCTGAAGGCTGAGCAACTCAGCTTCGCTGTGCTCCCTGTGGTATGGGGCCCCGGGTAATTGCCAGGCTGCTATCCCTTAATGCCGGCCCTGGCTTTTATATGCAGAAAAAGAGTTGTTGTGGCACAGCTGGGCTGTGGAGTTTTTATAGCATGTTGGTGGGAGCCTCAGAAAGAAAATGGTTGAGAACCTCTGTTGTAAGGGAAAATTCAAGGTGAAATGGCCCGTTAACACCTCTGCAATCATAGAACAAAAGGGAGGAGGGTTAGGGGTTACAGATTGTTGTAGTTATCCAGTATCTTTATTGAGACCATGTTTTTAATGTCTAGAAAAGTTATGAACTTAAGCTCCCTGGTTCATCTTTTGAAGGGCAGATATACACTTAAAATGCTGCATTAGCGCAGCTGTGTTGACGGGAGAAGCTCTCCCATCGACATAGTGCTCTCTACACAGGCAGTTGGGTCAGTATAACTCTGTTACCTATCCACCCCCAAGCGGCACAGTTATACCAATACAAGTCTGTAGTATACACCTGGCCAAAGTTGTTGTGCAGGTTTCCTTTGAGGACAAGGACTGAGAGGTCAGATATGGAGCGATCATTTTGTGAAAAGTGTTAGTCTACCGCAGGGGTAGGCAACCTATGGCACATGTGCCAAAGACGGCACATGAGCTGATTTTCAGTGGCATTCACACTGCCCGGGTCCTGGCCACCGGTCCGGGGGGCTCTGCATTTTAATTTAATTTTAAATGAAGCTTCTTAAACATTTTAAAAACCTTATTTACTTTACATACAACAATTGTTTAGTTATATATTATAGACTTATAGAGACATTCTAAACGTTAAAATGTATTACTGGCACGTGAAACCTTAAATTAGAGTGAATAAATGAAGACTCAGCACACGACTTCTGAAAGGTTGCCGACCCCTGGTCTACAGTAACAAGGTGTTTTTCGTCTTATTTTTCTGTACGAGTTCATTTGAGAGCTTAGTGATTGTCTGGTTTCACCCACATAGTTGTTACTGGGGCATTTAATGCACTGGATGAGGTACACAGCATGTGATAGGCATGTGTAAGACCCATAGATCTTGAAAGATGTTGTGTTGGGAGGTGTTAATCATCAGGGCAGTTGAAGTATGTCTGCAGGTTTTGCATCTGTTATGGCAGAGTCTGGTGCTGCTTTGAGTTGGCAGGTTCTGGTCTGTGGGGATTCTGATTATGGTAAGGCTGCAGGGGTTGTTTGAACACCAGAAAGGGGGGCTTAGGAAAGATCTCTCTTTCACAGAGGTGGGCAAACTACAACCTGGGGGCCACATCCGGCCCGCAGGACTGTCCTGCCCGGTCACTGAGCTCCCGGCTGGGAAGGCTAACCCCCAGCCCCTCCCCCGCTGTCCTCTCTCCCCCGCAGCCTCAGTGCAATGTGATGCAACACCAGCACTCTAGGCGGCGTGGCTGGCTCTGGCCGGGCTGCGCGGCTGCAAGTGCCTGCCGCTCTGAGCGGCATGCTAAGGGGGCAGGGAGCGGGGTTGGATAAGGGTAGGGGGTTCCGGGGGGCAGTGGCGGTTGGAAAGGCATGGGATTCCGGGGGGGAGGGGGGAGGCGGGAGCTGTCAGGAGGCGGGGGTGTGGATAGGGGTCAGGACAGTCAGGGGACAGGGAGCAGGGGGGTTGGATGAGTTGGGGGCTCTGAGGGGGGCAGTCAGGGGGCAGGAAGTGGGAGGGGCAGATAGGGGGCAGGGGCCAGACTGTTTAGGGAGGCACAGCCTTCCCTACCCGGCCCGCCATACAGTTCCGCAACACCGACGTGGCCCTCGGGTCAAAATGTTTGCCCACCCCTGCTCTTTCAGGATGTGGTCCTCATCGAGCATGGGTTGTAACTGTTTAACTATATCCTATATAGGTTCCAGTGTAGGGTGGTAGGTGACAATTAGAGGCATGGGGTGTTTCTGTATTGAAGCATTATCTCACAGTCAATGCTGAGACCCTAAACTTGCACCTCACTCCGTCAGCTTGCAATATCCAGCCAATTTTGAGAGGCTTGCTCCCCCGTGCCTTCCAAATTCAGACTTTTCTAAAAAATAAAAAATGCTTTTGCCATAGAGTTGCTCATTGGTGCTGAACTGCCTACAGATGTTTATTTTTTACAAAAAAGGTCTTCAATATTTACCTCAAATATAAGCCTCAAAAAATCCCAGTAAAGACAAATGTTTAACAAACATTAGTAAACAAATGTTTACATAAATAAAATTGGAATTTCTTTGTGATCAAGTTGAAAATGCCTTGGATTCGAAATTCATTAGCCACCACTTAAAAAAAATATGAATTACTAAAAACAAAAAATATATCCACAAGGCTCTCAACCAACCATTTCTAAATTTTTACACTACAGATTTTTAATAGTGCTTTGGGGGAGGGCAAGCAGTTTTCTACATGACTGTAGGGAAAAAACATTTCCCCATAATTAACCTGGCAAATTTAATGTGTTACAAATATAAAATATAGCAGTTCAAAGCAGCCGAACTGGATTGTTTTCCTAAACACCAGGACTCAATCAATTTATCAATATTAACCAAGGAAATAATTTTATACTAAACAGCAACAAGATTACAAAATGACAATTATGTTTTTAAGAATCCCAACATTGTTTTACCTTTACTAAAAGGTGCAAGAATGCTTGCATAAAGCAATACTTACCAATGCTAGGGAACAAAGTACGCTCTCCCCAGGACCTGCTCACAAGGGATACACTCCAATCTTTTCCATTTCCACTAGCATCTCCAGTGTCCTGACCCCAAGCAGATGTCTCCGTTTTCCTCTTCCCTGCTGTAGTTGATGGAACAGATGTCCATTTCTCCTCACCTGCACTGATCTCTGAGGAGATTTTTACAGACTTCTCATTCCAATTTCCTCCATTTACAGTAGGATTTTCATTCAACCCTGAAGAAACTTAAAAAATAAAAACACGTTAAAAAAAGTTACTGGATGAAGAGTTAAAATATTACTTGATTATAAAGAAATCAAGTTCATTATTGAATTTTGGTCAGCAGCAACTAAATATTAGATACCAGAATAATATGTAGTTGCAAGACAGTTTTAACACAAACTATGAATTGTTACAATAATTCTTAACCTCTAAAATAGGTGAACTTGTTAAGGCTGAAATGTCTAAAGTCAGATCTACAGTACCCCTCATGTTTCAAATGTTAACACTTCTATCATCTGTGTCCCTCACCTCTGCCTGTAGCCTCCATTCCTGTGAAGATACTGAAATGTTTTAACACTCTGCCTTCCTCCTGCAATATTAGAGAACAGGATTCTATTTTTTTGCCCTTCTTTCCCTCCCCCTCTTCATGCCTAGAGGGCCTCCAGTATATCCTTTTTTGCTCCATATCCTTCTTTTGCTTCACTTTCTTCCTAGTGGGGGTGGCTAAAAACTGCTCTCTCCAAAGTCAGTCAATACCATTCTTTCAGTCAGCTTTTGGGGGACAAGAGACAGCAGTGCATAGTGCTCCTTACAGGCCCAGGTGTAGAACTCTGATCCCAATATGGCAGTGTGTTGTGATATTTACATATTGCCATAAGCAAACATGGCACTTTACAACAAAGTATGCTAAACAAATGAGAATCCTGGGTATTAAGAGTTTAGATTCTAGCAAGGTTAGTTGCAAATCTATGAACCGGCCCAATTCTGGAGAACTTGAATACTCTTGCATGCTCATAAGAATAAAACCAGTAAAGCAGAAACATCCTAACCTGTATGTACACAACTGAAAAGGAACTATATTCTGGATGAACTGCTGACAGCAGAAAAAGGAACTTTTTAAACAATGCTGCAACACTGTTTGGGATCAAGAGAACACTGAAAAAGGAATGCGAGAGGAGGGAGTACTGATGTCATGTCCCTCCTGGCTCCTGCAGTGGTTCCTAATAGAAGAGAGCCAAAATGGGACATCAAGGCGGCTTCTCTACATGAGGCATGGAAGAGGGGCAGCTACTCTGTTTCTCTTGGTCCTCTGGTTCTGATGACTAGTGTCCCTTCACTCTCATAGCTGGGAGAAATAGGAAGCAACATCAGAAGGCTATGCCTCACTTCTGTGCTCTTCTCTCCCTTAAAGGGCTGCTACTTCCTGCCCACTGTTACTTCTCCCTCAAGCATTAAAAAGGGGACCTCTAGCTCTGTAAAGAGCTCTCTCTCTCTGACAAAAAGACAACATGTCATCTCCTTTGCCCCTTCCACCAGAGAAGCAGCAATTGAGACAGCTGTGAGAAGCCCCTTCTGGCAATTCAGAGCTAGGATGGGATAGAGGAAGGTTTCCATTTTATTCAGGAAGTAACCCTAGTGAAAAAATCCCATATGAATAGTCAGGAGCTTTCCAAATTGAAAAGGGCACATAAGTATTGGTCTTATCAAATCTGAAAACGTAGAGACAAATATTCCATGTTCTGCCCCTTAAATTTTGTTTTCTTCCCTGTCTAGTACAGCATAAAAATATCCACAGCTTTTTGGAATATCCTAGCCCTGAAGATGACCACAGTCACTACTGTAACAGGCTGTCCTGCTGGAAAGCTATCAGTGCCAAGAAGGTGGACAGTAATGCATATATTTTATTCAGGTTCTTGTACTAATCTCCTTATCACACATATATCTTCTTCTCTAGCGGTGCTGCACAGTAACAGCAGTTTGCTTGTGAAGCAAAGCTCTGAAGGATTGACAGCAACAGAACTGCTTTCTGCTGGATGTCATTTCTTATAATTCAACATAATGTTGATCTGCCAAACTACATGGACTATATTTGGTCACAGCTACATCCACCACCTAGCTTCACATTCTCCTGTAAATGTAGTCAGTTAGTAGATAATGTTTTCACCCCCATCAGACTTAAATAGTTACCATCTGCATTTGACAAGGGCCAGAGTTAAACAGTTTCCCAAATGTTCCTGGATCAGCTTCTCTTATGAGAAAGACTAACTATAAGCCTCAACACTCAAAACATAAGTTTTTATAATTTGAGCTCAATTTTCAGAGAGTTGGGCTAAAATTATAGTCATTCCATGTACCAACAGGTATTTGCATGTGCAAAATCTACACATGCCCACTACTGTGGTATTTAGGTGCCAAATGACCTATTTGTGCCCAAACTGCATATCAGATTCCTTAGGCTTGGTCTACACTTACCCCCCAAGTCGAAGTAAGGTACGCAAATTCAGCTACGTGAATAACGTAGCTGAATTCGACATACCTTACTTCGAACTTACCGCGGTTCAGACGCGGCAGGCAGGCTCCCCGTCGACTCCGCAGTACTCCTCTCGTTGAGCTGGAGTACCGCAGTCGACGGGGATCACTTCCTGGTTCGATTTATCGCGTCCAGACCAGACGCGATAAATCGAACTCGGAACTTCGATCCCCAGCTGCCGAACTAGCGCGGCAGTGTAGACCAGCCCTTAGACTCAGGACCTGTGTGTTTAACTCAAAGCAAATATGTTGAGGCTTATATTTTATTTATTTATTTACTTACTTTAGGCAACTTGTTAACTCATTAACTTGAGAAAGTGAACACTGTTAAGGCTAGTCTGGACAGTCCCCAAATGTTGTTCCAAGACACGAATGTTTGGGGTTTACTCCGTAGTAATTTTTATACCAGGTATAAATAGCATAGAAATTCTAGGTACAGTACGGCAGTATTATTAGAGTAACTAGGGCGTAAAGAGTCTATATAGCCTATGTACTGTTATTGAGAAATAACTGTACAATGACTGTGCAAGTCAGACACTCACAACTAAAGAGCAATTGCATAACTGAGAAAAAAGTTCTAAATCATGAACTGCACAGCATCCTGCACTCTGACCCAGGTGGAGTTCTAGTTCTGTATAGGAAACTATTACTCAGGTTAACAAGTTAGCATGCACACTAGTCATAAATCCTTTTACCTTGCTGAATTGTTGACTCTCCCTTTGCAGATTTAGAGCTGCTAACTTGAACATTCAGAATTGTATCACCTGATTAAAGAGAAAGTCTTTACAAACCATTGTACATCTATAGTAAGTATTCATTACCAAAGGCCAAATTATATTTCAGAGGATCAGCTCTTTAACAATCATTAACAGGCAAAAAATATTTACATCCTAAACTAAAGGAAAAATTTGCAAATACAGCAAATTTTTAGAAGCTATATTAAAACGAAAAATATGGGCATTTAATCTTAAAGGCTATTTGATTTATATACAGTTCAGATATCTCAGAATTTAAATCAAGGAACCCTAATCAGCTTTTAATTCAGTTTAAAAAAGAGTTAATTTGAAAGGAGCCCAGCTATTTTTCCAGTGCTCATTAGCAGCATGCCCAGATCAGGTGGAAGAGGTCATTTCATTGCAAACACCTCCGCTAGCCTCTTCCAGACATTATTACAAAAGGAAACCACTGTTTCTACCTCTTACCTAACCCAGGCAGTGCTGCAGATACAGCTCAACTCCTTTCAAATTAACCTGGTGCAAGGTGACATCTGAGAACTGATGGTGCACTACACACTGCCATGGTCCCTGCTCAGATAGATTACAGTAGTCATTAATGTCCATAAAGATCACAATACAGTTACAGTCAACACATTTCTTGAAGTTGCTGGGTTGCCTTACTTCGTACATGCCCCCAGTGACAAAGGGAAAACTGACATAGTACTCAAGGGCAAGGACAGTCCATTCAGTCAGGACGGAAACAAGCTCTGATCAAAGAAGAAACCAGGATCTGAGGCATCAATGATGCAAGGAGTTGAAGTTAGAAGGTGAATGTAATGTAGTAAAGCACCAGAGAGGAGCTAGGCTCAAGCTTTCTGCTGCTATGTCAGAACACTTGATGCATTGTTCTTTGTTTAATTAGGCACTCAGGTGCATCAACAGGTAGACTGTCTAGAGGAAATCTGGTATCTAGTAGGCCAACAAAATGGTGTCTTTCTGGTCTTCTTGTGGGGCTGGGGAAACTGATGAAGCTGTGGTACCATCAGTTATGCAAACAATGCCCAGACAAAGTAGAACTGGTATGGTGGTGGAAAGGGAAAAAAAAGTAGTTTGTGTTTCGGTTTAATAGGAAACAAACTGACCACAAAAAGGGAAGGGAAGGGTGAGAAGAGGCTTGCTAAAAAAAAAAAAAAAAAAAAAAACCACCACTGGGATCTGCCAAAAAAAAATCAGGAATGATCTGTGAAACAAGGAAAATCTTCCCCAACACAGTCAGAAAAGAACACGGATGGTGGTGGGAAGGGGCCAGACTAGGTACCTGATTGAGGGATGCTTCTATAGGTTCCAAGAGACACAAGGCTTTACAGTTCTCACCTGCTCCAGCTGAAAACATGGAGCCAATAATTGGAATCTTAGTGGGACAGGTATCTTCTGTTAAATGCTGTTCTTTTAGCTTTTCCTCCATCCTTAATTCCACACAAAGTATTACAACTTCCAATTCCAATATTTTTTACATGGATATATCCCCCTCCTATTATAATGCATTTTTAAGTGAACACTGCTTATATTTCAAGTATTCTTTCTTTCTACAACATCATACCTTTATTTTTTCTGGGACCAACTGGAAAAGATGGTGTAGGTATTAGTTGTTCAGTGGCTACTGTAACTGCATTTTCCATCCCAGGGAGATTTGGTTCTATTGGACCAGCATCAGTCAGTACCTTGTCACGCTTACGCTGCTGCCTTTTCTCACGGTTACTGATTTTAGTTTCCCAAGCTCCTAAAATATCCCCATAAATAAAAATGGCATTACATGAGTAATACAATGGTAAAAGAATAACCCAACTAAAATTTAACTAGGAACCAAGTTTAATTTTGTAAGAGTTAGCAATAAGATAGACTGAAACCAATAGGTAAAGGTGAGAACAAGGGTAGGTAACTGAACTTTACATGTAAGAGTTTAAATGGCATGCTTGAAAAGTATGTCCTTTTTCTGGATGCGAGAATAATAGTATTTTGTTTTTACAACCACTCAAACCATATGAGCCACAACACTTCAGGTAGAATAAGATGTAGGATGATTGCCTTTGATGAACAATTTTAGTATTTTTCAACCCTTATAATCCAACATTCACAGATCAAATTGCCAACATCCCAGTTCTGAAGCTACCATCTTAACTTTTCTGTTCCAGAAATCCTGGATTTTCAGATATTCAGCATGCAAACAGTCTTAATCTAAGAACATTTCACCAGGTAGTAACCACTACATGACCACATATCCGATTTAAGATTATGACATCAGCTAGTTAATTTTGTTATATGTTTAAACAAGTTAATCTTAGATAGCATGTAGGCTAAAAAGTCTCACGCATTGCCTTATCAATGCTGTTCTTAGTACCTTCATCTGCTTCTTTTCCATCGAGACGTGACAGGTCCTGAACTGTTTTAGCATCTCCCTTTGATTTCTTCTTATTCTTTTTTGACTAAAATTAAAAAAGCAATAATTCAGTTTTATGTTATTAAAGAGACTAAACGTTTCTATTACAGGTATTAAGAAAATAGTTATAAAAAGTTGTAAGAATTAAAAGATATTTACAGATTAGAAATGGAAGACATACTTTGCAATATTAACCTATTGATTAGTGCCAAAGTAGTGGTGTTTAGGAAACATTTCTTCAGTATGAAAAGTGGGGGGGGGGGGGGAAGGGGGGAGAAAAGGGAATGGTTTTTTTGCTTTTTTTTTTTTTTTTAATATTAAAATAGAGAAAACCCACCCACACAAAAAAAAAAAAAAAAAAAAACCATTGCTGACAAAATCTGCCAAAGACTGGAGGATCAGCAAGTGATGACAGGCCAGTCATACAGAGCAATCTGGATTGTTTGATAGGCTGGACTCATTAAAATAAAATGCATTTTAATACAGTCAAATGCAAAGTTTTACATCTAAGAACAAGGACTGCATGCCATACCTACAAAATGGGGGACCGTATCCTGGAACACAATGATTTAGGGGTCATAGTGCATAAGCAATGCATAATGGGCTCCCAGTGCAACACTGACAAAAAGGTCTAACACATTCCTCAGATAAACACACGGGGGAATAGTAAGTAGAAGTAGAAAAGTGATTTTACTTCTGTATATGGCATTAGTGAGACATACTGGAATACAGTGTGCAGGTCTGCTGTCCACGTTTTTAAAAAGACGTTGAAAAATTGGACAATGCAGAATGATTCAAGGGCTGGAGAAAATGCTTTACAGTTAGAGACTTAAAGAGCACAGTCTGTTTAGTTTGTCAAAAGAAGACGGAGGTCATTTGATTATGTCTAAGTACTTTCACTGGGAAAAAATGCCAAATACTAAAGGGCTCTGTAATCACATAGAGAAATGCATAACACGAACCAACTGCTGGAAGCTGAAGCCAGACAAATTCATATTATAAAGCAGGCACAAATTTTTAAACACTTACTCCTGGGGTCATTCTGCAGCAAAAAAATAAAAATTCTGCGCACAATATTTTAAAATTCTGCAAATTTTATTTTTCAAAATAACACTATATAATCACACCAGTTTCAATTATTTTGGTAATTTATTTCAAAATATCTGTCAGCAAGTATGTCTGTAACAATACAGATACGCACAAAAATTCCCCAGGAGTAGAGTTAAAGAAACCTCTATGACAACCCAGTTCCTGTTTCTCTGCCTCCTCCCCTCCCAGAGCCCAGCCGGGGGCCATAGACCCACAACTCCTCCCCCCCAGAGCCCAGCCACGATGCTCCCCCAGCCAATACGCCCAAACCCCCTCCCCATAGAGTCCAGCCACAGGCCCCCCCCTTGCCCAGATACACACATCCCCTTCCCCCCAGAGCCCAGGGATCCAGAGGGAAAAAGTCTGATGTTTGGTCTCAGGCTTATATGGAGTTTCCTGCACAGTGTCTCCTTCCCTCAGGACATGATGGGAACTGCAGCTGCCAGGAATGCTCTTGCTCCCTCTCCCTCCCACCAGCAGTGTCTTCTATGTGCAAGCTGGGTTCTGTGGGGTCCAGCAGCCCCTATTGGTGACCAACAGCATTGCATCCCATTTCTGTGGGGGAAAGGAAATTCTGCGCACATATTAATTTCTGCAAAATTCTGCATTGTGCAGTGGCTCAGAATTCCCCCAGGAGTAAACCCTGTACAAACAACATTCTTCATCTTTTGGGGTCTTCAAATTGAGACTTTCTGGAACATGCGTTAGCTAAATAAACTATTTGGCTCAACACAGGTAAACTGGATGAAATTTTATGGCCTGTGATATACAGAAGTCAAATTACATCACGAATGGTCCCTTCTGGCCTCAAACTATATAAATCTATGCAAAGAAGTACCTTGAGTTAACTGATGCATTGCACCAGGGAAGCCCTAAACTTTCACTGTTATCAGAGCAAAGACATAATGGGTCCAGAAAGTAAATTGTATATAGGCTTGGCAGAATTAGATGTTTATTTTTTGCAATTTCAACATCATCGATTTTTCAATTTTTAATAATTTTTATTTTTATAGTTGTGGAAAATTAAGGAGAGTAGTATTGGGGTTAGGACAGCATTGACAGTGGGGTACAGAGGGCTCTCAGCGCGGCCGAGAGGCCCAAGACACCTGAGTGTGAGGTGCAGGGGAGGCTGCAGTCCTGGCTGGAAGAACAGACCCCTAGTCAGGCCTGCAAGGAGGGATCACCTCACTGCTGTATAGTTCCTGCCTGGGGATGGCTCTCTCACTTCTGGCTGAGAAGTGAGTGAGCAGGGCCGTGATAGCAGAGCTGTAGAGGGCTCCCTCCATTGCCATAGGGCTGGTGACACTTGATCCCTGCAGGAACAAGGTGCAGGGGAGGCTGCTGGTCCCGGTGGGCCAGAAGAGAGACTCCATGGTTGGGGACTCTTCTTCCTCTTTGCAGTTCTGGCTAGAGGTCTTTGCTCTGCTCTGCCAGGACTACAACTGCCCCCACACCCTGGGCCTATAGGGACCAGCTGTCACTGGCCCTGTGGACATGCAAGGAGCCCTCTGCAGCCCTTCTGTCATGGCCTCTCCCTCACTCCCATGACAGTGGGGCTGTAGAGGGCTCTCTGCACTGTCACAGGGCCAATGACACCCAATCTCTGCAGAGGTCAGGCTCAAGAAAAGCTACAGTCCTGGTGGAACAGAGAAGGGACGCTTGGCAGTCCCAGCTGGTGAGAGCAGGGATGTGACAGTAGACATGCAGAAGGTTCTCTATGCTGCTGCAGTACCAGAGACACCCAATCCCTGCAGGCACAAGGTGTGGGGAAGGCTCTGGCGCAGCAGAGTAGAGAACACTTGCCAGGACTGCAAGGAGGAAGAGCCCCCTTCCCCGGGGAAGGCCATCCTGCTACAGAATGGCTCCGTCCCTGGGCAGGAGCCATTCAGCAGCAAGGTGGCCTCCACACAGCCAGAGGCTCCTCCTCCTCTTGGCAACCATGGCCGGGGTCTCTGCTCTGCTAGCGCCAGAGCCTTCCCCCTCACCTTGCGGTGGCAGGGATCCAGTGTCCCTAGCCATACCAGGAACCCTCAGTAGCTCCACTGTCATGGCCCTGGCTCCCTCGCTCCTGTGACTGCCGGGCTCCCTGCATGGCTGCTGACACCTGATCCCTGCTGGCACTAGGCAAGGGGGCAGGGAGAACTGCACTCACACCAACTGTTACTGATGGATTTTTTCTTCATCCATTTCAGTGTAAGCTGCAATTGACATTAACTGACATCTGTGGATTTAAATAGAGTCCTGCCAAGTCTAACTATAAGAAAGGCTGTAAGTTTGTCATGGAGATCACGGAAGTCACAGATTCAGTGACTTTCCGCGACCTCTGATTTCTGCAGCAGTTGGTGCGCCTGGCCCGGGGCAGCTAAAGCAGTCCCGGTGCCAGGCCCACTGGCCATTCCTGGGGCAGTCTCGGGCCACCACGCCCCCCCCCCCACCCCCAAGCAGCAGCAGCAGCAGGAATTTGGGTGTGGGAGGGGGTTGCAGCATGGTACGGGGTGAGGCAGGCTCTGGGCGGCACTTACCTAGGGGGTTCTTTGGAAGCTGCAACATCCCCCTTGCTCAGCTCCTAGACGGAGGCGCGGAGCCAGGTATGTAGCTGCCCCCCCCCCAGCACCAGCGGGGGTCCCGGGGGGCCGTGCGCCGCCCCCCCCCCAGCACCAGTGGGGGTCCCGGGCCGCCAGGTTGTTCCCTCCCCAAGATTTAGTCAGGGGTATATAGTAGAAGTCATGGACAAGTCACGGGCCATGAATTTTTGTTTACTGACCGTGACCTGTCCATGACGTTTACTAAAAATACCTGTGAGTAAAACGAAGCCTTAACTATAAGGCAGAAGGATCACTTGTTCAGTAACCGGCCACCAAGCACTGAGTATGGGAGGGCTACTGACTCCTCTCCATAACTTCTCTCCCCCAGCAAAAGAATAAGGGTAAGTTTCAAACATTTATTTTTCCCTGCATTTGCTAGCGTAGTAAACTAAAAGTAAACTAAATTAGGTATAGAGAAAAATAACCCAGCTGAGTTAGGGAAACAGTTCCTATAAAACTGAAAATAATGTACATATTCTTAAACTAAACTACTATTTTATAAGAAAGCATATAACTAATGATAAAAAAGGGCAGTTGAAAAACTCTGACTGGCCAGTTCTAGTGAGCACCAAGTAATAGGTGTTCCAAAAAAAAAAAAAAGGAGTAAACAGACTACAAACCAATTCCCCATAACTGCTCAACTTCCACTGTTGGCTCTTGTGAGGTTATTATTTCAGAAGTTCTCCAGACATCAAAATCTTCCAGGCAAAAAAGGACCTAAACACTTTTTTAAAAAGGCTTTTTTCCGCTTTGCTTTAACAGCCCCCTCATTCCATCTCTTTATCATCCCCCCACACCTCCAAAAAAGAGGGCACAAACCCAACTGCCCCTCTGCTTGACCCATCACCTTCAAAATACAGCATGAAAAGTCAAATGACAGACATTAATAACTAAATAAAAAGGCCTACATAGTCACAAGAATAACTTGCATACAAATTCTGACCATTAAATTTTAAAAAACTGATTAGAGTATTAAACATCCAAATTTAACATCCAGCTTTTCTATGAAAAGCTCACATTAAATGTTTTTATAGAGTCTTACAAATAGGGAATTTATGTTGCTGTAAACAAGGATTTAATAAATAAATCAGAACTTAAAGTTGATCATCTTTGCTTTCCTAATATCAATTACTGGAACATGGTACATATCTACTTTTTCCACGACCTGCCAAGCTCAGTCAAGGTTTCTAACATCAGTCACCATCTCAATTATATCACTGACTAAAACAGTCAAGAGGTGCAAGATGACTGTATGAAATAGGAGTTCTATTCATTCTAAATGATCACCTTCTGCTGCACAGAAGGCTGCCAATCTTCGCTCTGCCATCAGCTGAACGATACATTAAGAACTTGGCAGACTAGCAAAAAAACTTTAAATCAGGCAGATGTGTGGGCCTCTATACAGAGGAAAATAAAGAATGTAAAAATAAGCTTTCCTTCCCCAGCATAAGAAAGTACTGATTCAAGATGATGCATGCTTTTTTGCAAATAAAACTAGCTATGAAGGAGCTTTAAGGAACTTTCCATTTGCTCTAGTTTGCCACTTTCCAGTGGATGGCAGACATGTATGGCAAATTAATTTGAATCACTTATTTTTTGCTCTTGTGTAACTGAACAAGGCAGAGATGAAGAATGAAGAGGGAAGTGGCCAAATTGCAGACAGTACACATGCATCTTCAGTACAAGACCATACTGGAGATGACAAGCAGAAAACTGTCACCATCTTCAAGGAATAAGTGAGGCTCATGGCCCCTGAAGAGAAAGACAGCAAAGAATCGCAGAAACACAAGAGGAGCACCAATACAAAAAAACTCAATGTACGCCAAGTAATTTTTAGATATGGAAAAAAACACTTAACTTGTAGTCATCAGTTTACTCCTCCTCTAAGCCGAACAAAGAAAGAGCACTCTCACAGGGCCTTGGGAGATTCTACTCAGTGCACTCAAGCTATTAACAATGCAATGCATGTATGGAAAGAGGGTGATTTCCCAGAGTGACTAACATAGCTTTCTAACTATCCTAAGTTGAAAAAGAGGCTTGGAGCTGTTTTTAGTCAACACTGAAGGGCACCAATTTACACCTAGACTTCATATTTTTATCCACTCCAAAATCTATTTTCTTTTAATTTAAATAAGATGTTTTAGGTTTTATTTAAATTATAAGTGTTTCTTTTTTAAAAATAAACCTGTTTAAAATGAAATATGAATTTACTACAAAATACATTAAGGCCTAAACTTATTACAAGCTGCAAATGTAGCAAAGATGAGAAGAAATCCAGAAGAAAATGAAGATAACCTGAAAACTTATAACACATGGATTCAATGCTCATTTGACTAAAATACAACTCCAGGAATAAAGGAAAACATTGAAATTGCAAAATACTTCTGTAACAACCACTTTGCTTCAGTTTCATTGAAGAGAGAAGAAGGATCCAAACTAATTCTACCCAAGATATGCACTTGAATTCAGTGGTTGACTGTTCTGAGCCATTTATTAAGAACTGGTCTATTCTGATGATAATTTGCAAAGAGAATCATGACAAAATAGATGGACCTATAACAGCCAAAGTGGTCCTAATCAGTCTAAAGGGAAATGTATAAGATATGCTGAATATACAGAAACTTATTTCCATATTATTTGGCAAACTGTAGAAAGATTGCTGCTGTATTGCTGAAGCTGTTGAAATTTGGAAATAACTGAGGCATTGAAGCAAGAAATACCCAACAACAAAATTAAATTGCAAGAAGTAAAGAAACAGATGGATCAAGCACTTACTACACTTCATTGTTTTGCTAATATTCTCAACCCAAAGTACCAAGTAGATGCCTAACTTCTGAAGAAGATGCTGGTATGACATGGACATCTAAATTACCTATCAGTCATGCCAACCATAATACATTTCAGGGCTGGAAGGTGAACCATTCAAGCAGTACACGTTTGCTGATGTTTTAAAGAAAGTCACACCACTGAATTGGTGGAAGTCACTAGCTAAGCACCTGGAACAAGAGTTTGTTGACATGCGAAACCAGTTTTTGACAGCATGGTCCCCTCTTCTGCAGGCAAAAAAAATAGTATTTTCTTCATTTGGACTAATCCATTCAAAGTTGATAAATCAATTGAGAGTTGAAAAAGCAGGAAAACTTGTCTCTTCCAGTCTATGAATAAAAATGAGGAGGGAGAGATGAGATCTACTAGTCTGAAAAATATGAAGAACAGTAATTTAGGAGGCTGTCTTCTCATTTTCAGTAGACTTAGGTGAGTAGGAACCTAAGCTCCAGTCCCTTTCACTAAGGCATATATACTTATATATACTTATACATACCCCCTAGGTAGCAAAAAGATGTACCAAATCTTGTGTAAAGGCTCTATTTAGTTGTAAACCAACATGTTTTAATGGTTATTTTAACCAGTAATAATACACCTCTCTTGGAAAGTAACAGAAGTACAAATGGGAAAATTGATTAAAATGTATTTAAATAATCAAGGCTTTTCACTTTGTGATTTAAATCATGATTTAAAATCGCCCTGATTTACTTCAAGGCATCCTACTAGATTCGCTCCTTATATTTCCCCAAAATGATCTGACTACATTACTCTAATAAAAACAGCCATTTAGTGGCATAGAATTACTTGGAACTGCAGTTTAGGCTTGGTATTGTTTCGTCAGGGAGGGAAGGAGAAAAATTAGCAGCGAGAGAGAAATATGTTTGTTTCTTCGCTTAAAAAAATGTTATTTTTACTTCCAAATACAAACACCTAGGATATACGTTAGAATTCAGGCTTCCATCTAACACTGGAACATATCTTGTTATTCAAATGCAGAACTAACTAATACTACAAGAATTTCCAATAACTTATTTACTCACTCAAGCTATAAGACCATTAACAGTTGGGAAATAAATCAGGACCAAATATTTGGGTTTTTTTTAATCAAATTGTTTCCTACATTCAACAACTTTTCAGTAATAGTTACAGTTAACCGTTTACGCTATTTACAGAATATATCTTCTACTAGTACACAATGAATCCCCAACAGTATCATGAGAACAGTTTTTAGCCTAATCACTTTGTCGTCTATCACAGAAAGATTTTAAAAATTCCCTGTATGAGTGAGTACACTTTTATTAGAGCTAGAACCAAAACCAATGTGACAATCATTTTCAAATCAGGAAATCGCTGCACAGCAATTTACTTGACATATTATAATTTAAACCAGCAGATGTAACCTGTATTTTCAATTATATAAAGTTGTGAGCAAAAGAGCCAAGATAAAGTCAGTTTTGGTCATATGCCTATTTTAATCAGATAAATAAAAGTTGTCTGGTGAACTGAGGGTATATTTGCTCAGTGGTTTATGGTACACGTTAAATCTGGAAGAAATGAGAAGGTAGTCCTCAATGTGTAGGAAATGACAAATTTAAATGCAATCTGATGTTCTATTTAAAAATGTATAGCAAAGCTTTAACAGAAGATGTAAGTTTAGCCAACTAAGTCAGTAACAGAATATGCATGTAATCAATTTTATAACAAAAGCTAAAAAAAATTTCTCCTTTATTTATTGCCAAAAATCAGACTTCAAGGTTCCATAATTGTCTTCAAAAATTAAGGACGTCACCACCACCTAAAGGCCAGATCCCGAAGCCCTTAAGTCAACAACTCCCATTCAAGAGAAGAGTTTAAAAGTGTAGGATTTGGCCTTAAAACAGCACGCCCTCAGCTGTTAGATGATACAATTATTGTAAGTTATTTGAAAGATTACACTGATCACCTTTTGAGCACCTACAGAGAGTACACACAATTGAATACTGATTTGGCCTTATCACGTACAGGAGCTGCTATTCAGTATTTTAAATTTCTTTGTTTTAAAAGGAAGTGCAAACATTTAATTCCTGATGTAGGATGTTAGTATCTTTAAAGCTATCTTTCAAAAAAAATAAAAAAATTAGCAGTTGAAAAATTTACTATTTTTGTAAAATAATTTAAATTGGATAAGAGCTCTTCAGGGCAGGGATTGTCTTTTATTCTCTTATACATAATGGAACTGGTTAAAGTCTTCACATAATACAAATATATAAAAATTAATCTCATCAGGAAGTTTACTATAGTTTCAAAGCCATAAATGACCTTCTCATTTTTCTTTTCTGCATCCAGTGGCTGCTTCAGATTTTCTCTTCGAACCGTCTGAATTATTTCATCCTCAGACCCTTCAATAACAGGCCGTCCATTAGGCTGCATATGTAATCAAAAATTTAAAATCAGATTAAATCTGAGAGGGCAGGTGAAGCAAATCACAGAATGTAAGTTACATGATTACAAAGACAGTATGAGAGGTTTTCTTTGAAGCCAACTATAGTTCTATGCATTATGGGGAAAGAACCTAAATGCTAGCTTAATTACCTTTCAATGTAAAGCAATTTAGTTTTATATGAAACATTTTCAAAGCTTATTTTCAAAATTTCAGAAGACTGCTGCTGTGGTTGTACATACTGTATGAAGTTCAGAAACAAGTACATGAACTAGTAAATATGCTAAATGCAGCTGGATAAAAATCAGACTAGTAGTTTCTACAGCTAGTCTGTTGAATAGCAACTGTCTTGCATATTGTAAACAAGCAGATTAAGAATCATCACCAGTGAAGGAAAGCCATGACTTACCAAACTGTAACCAATTATGTAGTGGAATGTTACACAGCTTTACTATTTTTAATGTAAACAAACATGAAATAAAGTAGAGGACACTGGAAGTATTTTATCAATCTTTATATTGAGGAGTATTAAATATATAATTGCTCCTAGAGAAAAAAATATGTATCAAAAAAATTTTCAGGAACTTTAGGTCTGATTTAAACAACTGTAGCTTGGATTCCAAATAAGTTTTGCTAAACATTACAATTTTAAAAAAAATTCTTCCTGATGAGGTTTAGGATTGTGTATATTGATAGCAATTACTTTAATACACGTAAGTGAATGGGCATGTGCATTTGCTTTCTCACATGAATAGACACAGAAGTACACCTCTACCTCGATATAACGCTGTTCTCGGGAGCCAAAAAATCTTACTGCGTTGTATTGAACTTGCTTTGATCCACCGGAGTGCGCAGCCCCGCCCCCTCGGAGCACTGCTTTACCGCGTTATATCTGAATTCATGTTATATCAGGCGGCGTTATATCGAGGTAGCGGTGTATATGCAGTATCCATGTGAGCAACTGCACAAGTACTCACAATTGGAGTAAGGTGTCCTCTGCAGTATCTCACTGTAATGCAATAATTGCATAAGTAACTGCATAAGTACAGCAAACTACCTTCCAGTTAAATCTCTGTAGTGCCAGCCACAATTCTGTTTTGCCAAATGTACTGGGGGAGGGAGGAAGGGGAGGGGGAGAGAGAGCGCGCGCGAAAATGGAGAAGTGTTTTCCCCTCAAACCAGGGACTACTTTTCAAAGCATCAACTTTGTCAGATACCAAGTTCTTAAAACTACAAGTTGCAAATGTAGTGGGTTACCTATTTAAATTAAAAACAAACAAACCACACATACACACACATGGATATGCACGCTATTAAAAATCTTAAACTGGGTGAAATTTTAGACAGTCACTAAAAAAAAGCAGTTTTGGTCAACCCCAAACCATTCTCCAAATGTGACTCAAATTCACCAAATAAATCATTTCAGCCAGTTGATGAAGGAGGGCCCCTCATGAACCATTCACAAGATGGTAGGAGGAGAAGGAGGTGCACATATAACTTTAGGCCTACTGGTTATGGCACTCACCTGGGATGTGAGAGACCTGGGTTTTAATTATCCTTTTTGTCACATTCATATGGAGAAGGGATTTAAATTTGGATCTCCCACCTTACAGGAGAGTGCCCCAGTGACCAGGCTATGGGATATTCTGGAGTGGGTCTCTCTCAAGCTTTCCTGTTGAAGTTGTTCCACTGTGTATACATAATTAAACAGTCATTGGAATAGGCTCGTGAACTTGGGTCTCTCACCTCCCAGGCAAGTACCCTAATCACTAGGCTATAGGAATCTCACTCTCTGGCCTGGTGACTATTCAAGTATTTTATGCAAAGTGGAACAGCTCAACTTGAGAAGCAGAGACCTATACCAGAATAATCCATGGCCGAACGGCTAGCCCTTGCCTGCAAATTCAAATCTCTTGTCCACATCAGACAGAGGGAAGAACTGAACCCCAGCTCACAAGTGATTTCCCTAACCACTGTGCTAAAGGTTATAAGGTGACACCACTTCTTGCTTCCAGCCAGTTTAGGAATCTAGTCTTTTATTAATTTGCTTTTAGGTGGAAATTTTTTTTTGTTTTTGTTGACCCAAATGTTTTCTTTGACTTGAAACTAGTTTTGTGTCTACCTTTTTGACATGCTCAAATTTTTTGGATTTGGTTCAACCTGAATTTTTTTTTTTTTTTTTTTTTTTTTTTTTTTTTCTTATTGAATTAAAAAAAAAAAAATCTGTAATTTGCCATGCTCCACTTAAATCTGGATTTTTTTTTTTAAAAACCACTCCGAAATAAAGACCTCTACACTTTTATTTAAAATATTTCTGCAATACCCCTCACCTCTTCCCCACTCTTCTGACAGTCTTCAATCAGACTGTTAGTTCCTAAGTGCTGTATTAGTACAAAGTAGTAATAAAGGACATTCTTGCTGTCATTTAGACCCAGAGACTTATTACAATTATTAGCCTACATCAACCTCCTTCTCCCACCTCTGGAGCACAGAGAGAGAAAAAAGGGGCATGAAGGTTTAAAACAAACAAAAGGAAGTACTTCACACAACAGTCAACCTGTGGAACTGCTTGCCAGGGGATGTTGTGAAGGCCAAAACTATAATAATGAGATAAGTTCATGGAGGACAGATCCATCAATGGCTATTAGTCAAGATGGTCAGGAACGCAACCCCATGCTCTGGGTGTCTCTAAGCCTTTGACTGCCTGATGCTGTGACTGGACAACAGGAGATGGATCACTGATTGCCTTGGTCTTTTCATTCTCTTTGAAGCATCTGGCATTGGCCACTGTCAGAAGACAAGATACTGGGCTAGATGAACCATTGGTCTAACCCAATATGGCCATTCTTATGAAGATTTCATCTCCTGCCGATGTATCATTTAAGTTATGTTTCCATGATATGTTTAGTCTGCATGGCATTGTATTTAAATTCATCTCCATGGGATAGGAGCTGCATCTTCATTTTTATTTGATAGTACCAAACATACTCTTGACTGAGTTTGTATTTTCTTTTACAGGATACAATTTTAACTAAGAATTAAAAATCATGTTTAATATTAATCTCAAGCACTAGAACTAAAGTTGTTGCCTTTAATTTCAGAACAGGTCAAACTGTATGTTAAAGGGTATACTACTTTAATACTTGCTGACAAATTCAACAAGAAACATTTGTTAGATGGAAGAGCTACTTATTAGCACCCAGTATATCTAGCTATTACACTGCCTTCATAACTATTCTAAGGCCAGGTCTGCATTAAAAACTTACATTGATATAACTGCGTCATTCGGGTTGTGAAAATCCACACTTCTGATCGATGCAGTCCTAACCACTGGTGTGAACAGCACTATGTTGATGGGAGAGTTTTTCCCATTGACAAAACTACTGCCTCCTGTGGAGGTGGATTAACCATGCTGATGGGAGTTCTCCCATCAGTATAGTAGCATATTCACTAAAGCACTGCAGCTGCACTGTTGTAGCTTAAGTGTAGACCTGCCTCCTCAGTGACTTGACTTAGCAGATATATATTCTTCAGATTTCATTTGTTATGCACTGCCTATTTTGAAAGCCAAAAATATAGAACTGCTGTCTCTTGTAACTGATTTAACGTCCAAAGGTGAACACACACTTTCTGCACACAGGATGTGGTGACAACTGTTGACAGTGCATTTTTTTGTGGGCTCTGAAGTGACTTGGGTGAAAAGTGCTATTCTCTCTTGCGGTGGCTTAAAGACTATGCTATCCTGCCTTCAGCTGTCAGTTGAAAACAAAGGAAGAGGAACAATTTTAGGGAACTTCAGGATTTTTAAAAAAATGATCTGAAACAAATGTTACTAGAAGTGTACATCCTTAACTACAAATGGAAAGGTGTAATTTTCGGTTCAAATTATCTTTAAAAATAATAGTTGTAATATTTCACATTTAAATACATCCTGAAAACTTTTTTTTTTAAATTTATTTCTGTTATGAGACAGTTTACTAATAAAACTCAAACTCAGCCCTGTATCATAACAATTAAGTTTTCAAATTGTGGAACCTTTTCTAAGTCTCAAATTGATTATTTTAGAACAAGACTAGGAGTTGATCCAACCTCAGTTACGAAAGATTACTTTGTTTGATCCTTTATTTAAATAGTAAAAAGTATCAAAATCTGCTATGTTACAGTATACTTACAAAGAACCCATAACACTTTCCATAGCATAGAACAGTGGTTCCCTATTATTGTTTTTAAACTAATAAAGACAATGAAGTTGATGGGTTGCCTTTTGAGTCCCACCCAGGGTCCAAATTCAAGGGGGGGAGTGAACAAAAACCAGAGACCAGCATCATCCTCACCCTCCCGAGGGGACACCAACTACCAGAAGCTCCGGCGGGGGGAGGGCAGGGAGGAGGAGAAGAGAAACCTTGTAGGAGCCAGGAGGCTCTGGGATTGGAGGTGGGAAAAAAAATGTCTTATGAGGAGATAAATAATCCCTATAGATTCCTCTTTCAAGCACCTGGCAGAGGCAGAAATTGATTTCTCCATTGGATGGGGACTCCAAACAATGAGCTATCCCCATCTTTTGAATCAATCTATGGCTAGGAAGTCTGGACCTTTGTAAATGTGTTACCAGAGATTACTACTCTTACAATCAAATATATTCACTAAATAGTTTTTGGCTATTTGACTAACTAACATTAATTTATATTAAAAACTTTAGATTGAATATTATTTGACTAACATACTGGCAAGCAGTACACAATCTTTTTATTCCCTTAAGTTGCAAGGGGTATAGCTGTAGTGGTGTTCTTTACCCTACGTACGGGTGGTAAGTGCCAGGTAAATTTTTCAAGCCCTGCATGCAGTAATACATGAAAGTTGTAGGTTACCTGCCATGGTGAAAGCTCAGTAATTAAATAGATTACTAAATTATATATATTTTAACAAGACATTGGTAGTTTTCATGTCATTCAAATATATATACATAGTGTTGTATTCATATTTTGATCACAATTTATTTTAAAAATGATACTACAGTTAAAAATATTTAACCCTATTTAAAATTTGGCAACACTGGAAGGATTAAACTACTGGGACAGATCCTGCTAATTTTTTTTCATGAGAAATAGGGTTAACTGGAACAGCATAGTTAATGATATGTATCATTGTGTATATATATATTTATGGATCCAGTATGTGCATTTTCTTTAACAAGAGAATTTGTGTTCATGGGGAGTTAAAAAATAATAGAAGACAATACACCTATTAAAAATTCAAATACTTTGGTGGACGGGTGTGTGTTTGAGTTAGTAAGAGGGCTTTGTCCCTTTTGTTTCCTTGATGAAAAAGGCCTCAAGCATTTGTTAATTATTTTTGCTTTTCTTTTTCTTAGATACATAAAGAATGTCAAGTCTATTTTTTCCTGATTGCTGGGGGACATCGTGGAGGACTCAGATGTGTGTGTGTTCACTGAATAAGCAGGATTTTGAATTTTTAACAAATATACCCTCTCTCTAAAATGGTAATTAATCAAAGTTTTAAACAGTCTGAATAATACCCCCCCCTTCCAATTTCAAAGCTTTCACTCTCTGGATTCTTAAAAGATAATTTCACTGGTTCTTGGTCACCATAGAGTTTTCCAGGAGTGAAGATCTTAATTTCTAATTTAAAAAAAAGGAGGAATACCCACTTAGCCATTCTTCTTCACATAGCAAAGAACCAGAAAAAGGTATAAGCCCAGTTTTTTCCCCACTTTGCAGATCATCAGTTAAACTCTCACTTATTTAGATCTTATAATATGAGAGGCAACTGAAAGGCAAGGTTATAACAGGCCAAATGACATACATTCCACTTTCTTCCATCCTATTTTGGCAAAACAGTATTAAAACTATTTAGCCAAAACAGAAAGCTACAGACCAACCTGTCTAGGACCCAAATCTCTGACAAGAAAGAAAGAGCTTTAGAAGGGTGTGCAGTAACTTGATGCATGGGATTAGTTTGCTTACTAAGTGAAAGTACAGCAAAGCAAGCAATATAAAAAACTAGATGGATGAGGTAATACCTTTTATTGGACTAACTTCTGTTTGTGACAGAAGCTTTCAAGCCCCAGAAAGTTCTTCTTCAGGTCTGGGAAAGATTTAAGATACACCTTAACTCACTTAAAATTGCCTTCACGAAACAAGGACGCTCCACCAGAGAAGTAGATCGCTTCAAGGAACGGACCACCCCAATACCCGAAGAGAACTTGCTTCAATACAGAAATAAAGCCTCCTCCAACCACACACCCCTCGTTGTCACCTACCACCTCAAACTGGAACCCATATGGTGTATCATCAAACTACAACCCAAACTTGATGGGGACCGCATCCTGAAGGAAATCTTTACTGAACCTCCACTTCTGACCTTCAGACAATCCCCCCCCGCACGTCCTCCAACATCATCAGAAGCAAGCTCCCACAAACCAGGACACACCAACTCAAAGCAGCACCAGACCTTTCCATAACAAGAGATGCAAAACCTGAAGATGTATCTCCACTGCTACAATGATCAACGCACCTTTCAAGTTTCAGTGGTAGCCGTGTTAGTCTGTATCAGCAAAAAAAACCAAGGTGTCCTTGTGGTATCTTTCAAGATCCATGGATTCTACACATGCCTATCACAACATGTTGTATACTTCATCCAGTGCACTAAATGCCCCAACAATTACATAGGTGAATCCAGATAATCACGATGCTCTCAAATGAACTTGCACAGAAAAATTACGATAGACAAAAATTGCCTTTTCACAAAGCAATCACTCCATGTTTGACTTATCAGTCCTCATCCTCAAGGGAAATCTGCACAATACTTTCACAAGACGAGCCTGGGAACTTAAATTCATAACTCTGTTAGACACTAAAAATCATGGATTGAACAGACGCACTGGATTAATGGCTTATTAGAACAATCCGTAACCCACTAACCACATCTTTTTGTCCTATAACTGAGATGTTAACTGGCCACTCTACCTTGAATGGTCCCTTAGAATATGAGCTACCTATTTATACCAATCTGTTCTACCTTGCATTTACCTGTGAAACTCCGAGTACCTTTCCCAGACCTGAAGAACTATGTGTGACTTGAAAACTTGTCTTTCTCGCCAACAGAAGTTGGTCCAATAAAAGATATTACCTCATCCTCTTTGTCACTCTAATATCCTGGGATGGACATGACTACAGCTATGCTACAATATCAAAAACAGACAGTTGTCTGCACATTGTGATATTTAAAGACAGAAAAAAATGCAATGGAATCCTGCAATGCAATGGAATTTTAAAGTGGTTTCTTAAGAAACAGCTTTACTTACTTGAGATTATCCTTAGTGCACTTATCATACCCACCAAGTCTCTCTCATTTAGAAATAGCTTTTAGATTATTACAGTGTGTTCCTCTATGGATTATCGATTTCGCTCCATCTTTTCAATGAGACATGCAAAATCTTGAGTTGTCACGTTTATCTCAAAGTCTGTTACTTATTGCTACAGTTTATAGTACCTGTTCACTTGTCTGGACTCTGTAATAAACTTTAAAAAAAACCTAAACTTGTTGAGTGAAGGTGGTAAACTTCTAACTTCTTTAGAGTTAAAGCTTTATTAAATTAAAAGGTAATTAAATCTCAAGACCTCAGGGTTTCTTAGAAAGATTTCTAAAGATGAACCAATGCTGTCCCATCTCCCCGCAAAAAGCTTCAATGCATTTACTGCTACTCAAAGCTTTCCAAGTAGCAAAGCAATTGAAAAGAAACGGGCAGTCTCACATGAGCTATTCATAAGCCAGAGCAACATGCAAATACCACATGAGTTTCACCCTGCAGCTACCTTGGGAAACCTACAGCACTAGGACTACTTGCCCCTGGACTTCACCAGCAGCCCTCTCTCACACCAGCGTCCACCTTGAAGCACTATGGTAAGTTTTTCAAACTCTCGTTATAAATAAAACGTCTAAAACAAGAATGTTGTGGCAGTTTTACTTTAATCTGAAACAAACTGTTTAAATTAAGGACCGTGCTTCTTTCCATCTCCAAATGCAACTGTGAAGCCAGTCCTCCTCCCTCGCGCCCCCCCCCCGTCAGTGAGCCCCCAGCCTCCTCGCGCCCCCCCGTCAGTGAGCCCCCGGCCCCCTCGTGCCCTCCCCCGTCAGTGAGCCCCCGGCCCCCCGCCCCTTCGCTCACCCTGGCCGCCCCTTTCTCCGCAAGTCTCTTCTTGTTCCGTTTCTTCTGCTCCTCAGCCTTCAGCAGTAGCAACGCGGCCGGAGCCGCCTTGTTGGGGCCGCCACCGCCGCCTGTCAGGCCCAGGCCTACCGCCTCATCTTCTTCTTCCCGGCCAGGCAGGCTCCGGGGCTGCTTCCCGCGGGAGCCCGTTGCGCAAGCCACGGCCCAGAGCAGCCCCAGCAGCAGCAGCAGCCCCAGGGCGGCCGTGGCGAGCAGCACGAGCCAGCTCGGGAGGCCCTGCGGCTCGAGGCCCAGCTCCAGACCCAGCTCTGTGCGCAGCAGGCCCAGCCCGACCGACAGCGCGTCCCGCACCCGGGCCGACACCTCCTCGGCCTGCTGGGCCAGCGCCTCCTGCCAGCTCCGCGCCGCCATCGCTGCTCCCACCCGGGAGGGGCCGAAACCGAGCGCGGGGCGGGTGCTCAAGCCGAGCGCATCTCCCGCCGCCGGGCCCGCGCGGGCAGAGCCGGGACCCGCAGCCGGGCCGCCCGCTGCGGCTGAGGGCAGGACGGAGTCGCTGGGAGCGGCCCGTTCAGCTCCGCGGCGCCTCGCTCGATCCCCGCCCCCGGCTCGAGTGCAACGTCACCTCTCAGGCTCCGCTCAACGTCGGCGGACGGCGCCGCGCAACGTCCGGCGGGACGCAGGGTGACGTAGAGGTGGGGGAGTGGCGCGTGCACCCTCCTCCGGTCTCTAGAGGAGAGCTACGGACGCGTGCGCTGTTACTCTCTCCCCCCCGCTCCCTCCCTGGAGCTGTCAGTCTGCCCTCCCCCCCCCCCGCGGGGCGGAGCGCAGCGCGTCACCAGCTACACGTGGCACTGAGAGCGCTGGCTGCCGTCTGCCCCATGCTACTAGGGCCAGCGAGCCCCGGCTGGTGCGGGGGGCGTGACCACGAGCCACTAAAGCATTTTCTTCCCGAGGTGCCTTGGAGCCTACGCTCCCGCTGGGAGGGGCTAGCATTGAGTTACACATTGACAGGGTGGGCCACCCCAATAGCCCATTGCTTGCTCGAGAGGGCAGCGCAGTGCCCTGCAGCCCCTCCCGTCTGTTGTGGGGGCCAGGAGGTATCCCTACTTTTTGGAGGGACTCTTCCATTGCTCCTCCTCCTGCCACAATCTTTGCTAACTGGCTGCTGCCCCTGATTGTGAGCATATAATTCCCATTGATTTTGAGGACAGAGCTTGGCCTTAAATGTTAAATTGCCTTTGTTTCAAAAACTGCAAAAATAATTTTTGCTGAAGTAAAGTGGGCTATGTCTAGTCTGTCAGTAATATCTCCTCTCCAGATAAATTCAACTCAAATCAAAAGTTCTTATCTACCATCACTCTTCATTATGAAGAATTTTTGTGCCTGAATGAATGACATGGTGAGATTGCCAGTATGGGGAGTACCAGTTTGTATATTATGCTGGCAGGTGGCTAGAGATCAGCATTGCCCATCATGCTGCAAAGAATATATGTATATTAGTGAGTTAACAGTACTGTACTTGTAATCTCTATTTCAGTTTGCAACTTGTCAAACTCCATTTGAATGAGGAAGAGATGGCACAACTTGAAGAACAGGGAAGTCACTACTTCACAGTCACTACCTCACAGATTTTAAGAATTTTTTTTTTAGTAGTTCCGTGTATTCTATTCTGTTGATAATCTTAAAGACAGTAGGCCAAATTCTGCTTTCAGACACAAGCACACATAGAGCTCAGCATAACTACAGTGGGAGTTTTGCGTGTAGAGCTTGATTCTCCACTGCCTTGCATCTCGTGTAGTTATTTACACCTGTGCAAAGTCACTGTAGTAACCATGTCCCCCACCCTAGCTGAATTTGGTGTATAGACAGGACCTTGGGAAAAGGTTGTAATTGTAGAATAAAATTACAAATCAGGCTTTGCTTGATTAATTTTTCATCTTGAATACTGCGTGCAGATGTGATCACCCCATCTCAAAAAGATATATTGGAATTGGAAAAGGTTCAGAAAAGGGCAACAAAAATAGGAGGGGTATGGAACAGCTTCCGTATGAAAAGAGATTAATAAGATTGGAACTTTTCAGCTTGGAAAAGAGACAACTAAGGGGGTATATGATGGAAGTCTATAAAATCATGACTGGTGTGGAGAAAGTAAATAAGGAAGAGTTATTTACTCCTCATAACATATGAACTAGGGGTCACCAAATGAAATTATTAGGCAGCAGGTTTAAAACAAACAAAAGGAAGTATTTCTTCAAACAACACACAGTCAACCTGTGGAACTCTTTGCCAGAGGATGTTGTGAAGGCCAAGATTATAACAGGGTTCAAAGATGGTGTCCCTAGCCTCTGTTTGCCAGAAGCTAGGAATGGGCGACAGGGGATGGATCACTTGATGATTACCTGATCTGTTCATTTCCTCTGGGGCACCTGGCATTAACCACTGTCAGAAGATAGGATACTGGGCTAGATGGACCTTTGATCTGACCCAGTATGGCCATTCTTATGTTCTTAATCATTTCACACTGTACTTTTGAAAGCAATAATGGATACATCTAAATCTCTTGAATTTTGTGAGAAACACTCTAGACCATCATTATTTTTAAGGGTTAGATCAGCAGCTCTGTTTTAAGTGTTGGGGTGGGTTTCTTTACACCTTAATGTATTTGTGCATGATGCTTTTTTGGTTTAAAAGTAACATTATCTATATGTTTTCAGTTAGTGGGCCATCTAATTAATTACTAAGTGCCAGATTTTCAACAGGACTCAGCACCCACAATCAGCCAAATTTTCAAACAAGGTGATCATATCAGATGCTAAACTCTTTTGAAAATCTGGCCCTTATTATTGTGCCTAAATTGAGTTTTTGAAAATCTGACCCCAGTTGTGAGTGCTAGACGCTTGAAAAATCTGGCCCTCAGGTGTTGAGTTCCTACAGAATTTTAACCTTCAGATCCTAACTCCTGGCTTTCCTATGCTTCCAAAGCCAATTGCTTTCCACTGTCTATGGGCCAGATTATTTTTGATGAAATTCTTCTGAAGTCAGTGAGGTTACACCACAGATTAATTTGGCCCACTGTTTCCATCTGTATCTTTATTTATCAATGGTTTTCATAACTAAAGTCATCACATCCTACCGGCAGTCATCTCATCATGTTTTTATTAAAAATGCATTGGATACATCAGTAGTCAAGAAAAGAGGGCATAATACAAATATAAACTTTTCATTTATTTTAATAGTGTAATTACAGCTCAGATGACATTGAAATACTGATGTCTCTGCTCTTATATTGTGAATACAAAAAATCTTTCATTTGCAAATATTTATTGGCAATAAAAGTTCTGGCAGGTTTTTTTTGTCAAATATCTTGCTCCATGTTACCAACTCTATAGACTGGCAGCCAAGTGCTGCTTCATTATCTGTAATTTACTTTAATTTACAGATTGCCGAGAGAGTTCATGGTGATCACAAGCAGAAAAATGGGGCTTTTTACCAGTAACTATTTAACATAGTTTTGGTAAGCTTTTAAGAGTAAATATTGGTTTAATTGAAAATGAGAAAGCTTGGCGGTATATAGTCCCTGGGTGCTTTAGGATACACTGTGCACATCTAATGAAAGGCTTTGATATGAATACTATAGTGTTCATTATAGACTCAATTCAGTCACCCTTAACATGATGAGTAGGACCTTACTATGTGAGTAGTTCCATTGATTAAGGTGCTACTCTGTCAGATTAAAGGTGGCAGAATTGGGCCCTATATGTGAAAATGATCAGCCAACAATGGTGGAATTTGTGAATCATTATTAACTTGCAGAATTGACACAAATATTTTAAATTCAAAATAAACAATGTAATTACTTGAGCAAAGTATTTTCTTTGAATCTGAGGTTACCATTCAGGCAATAACAATGTAACACAAACTACAGTGTACTCTTTTTATAAGAATCACATCTGTCCTGGATGATTTGATTCTTATAACTGGTTGATTCTTACAAACGGAATATTTTATTAGTATAAGAATGATTTTTGTCCCACTGGTTTTGATGACTATATGCGGTTGATTCTTATATTAGTGATTCTTATAAATGGAGTCCACTTTATATAAGAGCTAGGTATTAGTACTATTATAATAAACTAGCATATGCAGGAAAACATTGCAAGAACTCAGGTCAAGGCTAAATTCCAAAATATAACTGATTGAACTTAAGGACCAGAGCTATCTAAAAGCAACACTGTGGCACCACCAAGTGGTAGCATCACTGATGATAACAGCATAGTTCTGGGAAATAGATTTGTCTAGATCTAGATTCTAGGGGATAAAAAGGTGTGTTTTAAAATCATGTTAGCTGACCCTATTTGAAGAGTGTCTTTGTTCCATTCTCTTAAATTGATAAAATAACAAATTACGCAAAAATCAAAATAGGATATTCTTATTCCAAAACACAGAGTCTTCCACCATAATAACAAAAGGTGTGAATTAAAACTGAGATTGTTATTTCAGTGCAAGTCTGTGTCATTCAGCCTTACAGGGTGGAATGAGTACATCAGAGCTCCAGATACTACCTTGGTTATCCATTGAATACCAAATCTAATGTAATATTCTCATACTATTCTTCAAAGCTGTTAATAGGCTTGACCCGAGCTATTTCAAGGACTCTGGCCCAGATCTTCAAATGGATTTGGCACCTAAACTCCCATTAAAATCATTGTAAATTAGGTGCCTAGATACCTTTGAGGATTTAGAACTAACTTTCTCTCTCTCTCCTCTACCAACATGATCTCCCATGTCAATTGCATTTTTCAGGGAAAATGGAAATGTCCACTGGAAATCTCACCTCTTAAATATAGCATTCCCCAGAGCATGCAGCAGAAGAAAATAGGACTGCACATTCCAAAATAGAAGCAGGTGATTAAAGTAAACAGCAAGATTGAAACATGGATCATCATGAACATACTTCTTTGCTCCCTCTTTTGTCATCTCTCCTCTCCCTGCAGACGTTCTTTGTTTCACCATGATTATCAAACAACCCCTCAGATATCTTTTTACAACTTACTGTACCCTCTTCCAAGACTGCAGATGCTCCCCTGGAAACAGAACTGGTGCACCAGGAGTTGTGGCAAAATTCCTGGGGGGCTGCACATCTGGCAAGGAGCTCAGTGCCACTTGCGGCAGGGAGTCTGTTGCTATGTGGATCCTCTGATACCCATTTCATAGAATCATAGAATATCAGGGTTGGAAGGGACCTCAGGAGGTCATCTAGTCCAACCCCCTGCTCAAAGCAGGACCAATTCCCAACTAAATCATCCCAGCCAGGGCTTTGTCAAGACTGACCTTAAAAACCTCTAAGGAAGGAGATTCCACCACCACCCATTCCAGTGCTTCACCACCCTCCTAGTGAAAACGTTTTTCCTAATATCCAACCTAAACCTCCCTCGCTGCAACTTGAGACCATTACTCCTTGTTCTGTCATCAGGTACCACTGAGAACAGTCTAGATCCACCCTCTTTGGAACCCCCTTTCAGGTAGTTGAAAGCAGCTATCAAATCCCCCGTCATTCTTCTCTTCTGCAGACTAAACAATCCCAGTTCCCTCAGCCTCTCTTCATAAGTCATGTGCTCCAGCCCCCTAATC